GTTTTGTATAAAATAAAATATGTCTTCAACTGAAATATCTGTCTTGGTATTGGCACACGAGTTTTGTATAAAATAAAACACGTCTTCAACTGAAATATCTGTCTTGGTATTGGCACACGAGTTTCGTATAAAATAAAACACGTCTTCAACTGAAATATCTGTCTTGGTATTGACACACGAGTTTCGTATAAAATAAAACACGTCTTCAACTGAAATATCCGTCTTGGTATTGGCACACGAGTTTCGTATAAAATAAAGCACGTCTTCAATTAAAACATCCCCGTATTTTTTTTAAACCTTCATCTAGCTTCTTATAGAGTTTTGGATTTGGTTTTTGAAGTTGAAGTGTGGAAACACTTTCTAGAAGACTTTAGCTTGTGATAAAAGTGGACCAAACTCACACTGCTTACCTGAGCGTTTTAGTTGTCTGCTCCATCAATGGGATCTTTCAGACAATGCCATTGGGCAATGGGTCGACGAGGGGAGGCTAGCATATCCATCCAGTGTCGTAGCTCTGTTCCTGAGGCGTTACATCCAAGAACCGCCTTTCCAATTGGTTCGGACGTTCCGATTCGATCATAGTCCACCACAGTAACGACCAAATTTACTTTCTATATGTTATACAGAGATCAATTTGATAACATGTTAGTATGTTGCCTTAATATTGTTATTTTCTACCCCTTGCTTACATTATACAACTGATGTATTTTTGAAATGAAATTCGCTAACATGTGTCATAAACAATATTATTTTTTATAGTATTACATTTAACTATCAAAACTAATATGATGTAAGTGCACCCACGATACAACCATGTAATGCATATGCAAATTAACTCCTTAACATTTTTTCGGAAGTGCCTCTATATGCTTTAGTTATTAAATTATTTCTTCCTTGAGGCTCAGTAGTAAGGTTATGGGCATATAAAAACAAAATTTGGGGCTAGGTCTCCGTGGTGGACATATCGGAGATAGCCCATTGTGAAAACTTGCATTAAGATATGACCAAACAAAATGAAGAATAAATATAATTTACATGAAACATTATTCTAAATTCTGTAAACAATTTTGCAATAGAGAAAAATAAAAAAAACGTAAAAAAGTGCTCCCACTTGATGTTATAAGGCTTAAGAAACCAACTAAAAAGTGCTCAAAATTTACCATTTCTGTCCTGTTTATGTGTGTTTCCAAGGCCCACACAAAAGCGCTCAAAATTAGTATTTATGCACTGTCTTCGTGTTTTTCCAAGGCTTAAGAACCACAAAAAAAATTGCTTTTAGCTCGTTATTTCAAGTATTTAAAAAAGTTATTAACTGTTGCATTACTTAATGAAAGCTTATTTCAGCACAAGATTCACAGAAATAAATAATAATAAGTTATTTATAAGATTGAAATCAAAATACAAATAAATCACCTGAATTTGCTCGAAAGGGATTTCGAAGGTGAAGGATTCGTTAAAATAGGGATTTAGCGTGCACTTCTTGATGCTTGTCTTTTTCTTCTTGATTCTTTTGGAATTCATCATGATAGCAATCTTCACATAGGGATCTGGAATATTTAAAAAAAAATGTACGAATAAGGCTGATTAACAGCTGTAGTTATTCAATTTAATATTCGTTTTAAATATTTACACAACCTGAACATTGTAAATTTACAAGTACAGGGTGGTTATAAAGTCAGCATGAGTATTCGAAACTGTCTTTAGGGCGACCCCTGTAACAATACGGTTGAAATATTCTGTGGACTCGCATAATGGATTCCGGAAGTTTCTGGAAATGCGTTAGGGGGCGCCAGTATAGCATTTGTTCAATGTTTCCAGCATCATGTTCGATTGTTTATTACATCCTGAACACCTCCCTACGAATCACCCGAGCCCCTGTAGAAATGACATCATTCAGTTGAGAAATGATTGCTGGATTATGGCAAGTACCCTCACAAACAGCAGTTCATTAGGAGTAAAGTCAAGGATAGTTAAAACTTATCAGAAGAGTTCTAAAATCAGTTTCGACACATTCGAGCGTCCTCTTCGTTCTCACACGTCGACTTCTGGTAGAAAAAATGGTCAAAATTGCCTACGTGACTCCATTTGTACCAGTTATTGTAGTTTTTCACTAAATGCTAAACACGATATTTTTTTGTTTTTCGAAGTCAGAGAATCATGATAAGTAGAAAGAGGTCAATAACTTTTCTTTACGCTAACATATGTGTCTGTGTTCTCAACTTACTGTCAGCGACATCCCACAGAACATTAAAAATTACTGATTTAGCATTATTTGCTTGCCTTAATTTTACTTATTGGTGAAACTGAGCTGTGTGATGACTATTCTACTAGAAAACTTGGTCATCACTGGTATGGAACGTTAGGGTTAGACATTTAGTGTTATTTGGTCCAGTTATCTGATTGTAGGTACTATTAACTTTCTATTAAATGTATTATTACAATTATAGAGGGCAGTAACTATAAAACATCATCAAAGGAAAAGTTACACTTTGTGTTTGAACGAGTAAAAGGGAATTATTCATGTTTTATTATTGTATCTGTGGCCAGTTTGTAAATTATTAAAAATTCTCTTACATTATTCTCTGTGCTCGCGACTCTAAAAGTTTGTTTGTTTGTTTTGAATTTCGCGCAAAGCTACAC